TGGTTGGGACACAATTGGGCCAGGAGAATGGGATGGAGGTGTTGTTGGGCCAGGGGGATGGGGAAGACAGGGAAATGGGCCCGGACCCAGGCCCAAGGAAGAGAGTGAGGTTTGTGGTGCCAGAGAGCCCGCAGGAGGGGGGTCGTGTGGAGCTGGAGGAGCTGGTAGAGGCTCGGGAGGCCGGGATGGCGTTCATATTGGGTCACTGCCATGTTAAGGCGAAACCGGGCTCGGGCCTGGTCAAAAGGCTCGCGGTCAATGTAGGATACGATTTCTTGAGGAGAAATTCGAGGGAGCCAACGTACGCGTCGAGTTTTCCTCGGGCGTCGACGTTGGAGGTGGGGATGGTTTATCATGTGTGAGTTTAGTTGTTCTTTGTGTTTGTTTGTTTGTGTAAGCTAAGGAACTTGTTGTTTGTTGTTTAAGGTTGGATGTGTGTTATTTTAGATATATGGTTTATGTAATATAAGGAGAATTTTCCAAATACTTTATTTGTTTAGGATGTTTTTAGAGGGTTTTTTTAGTTGGGTAGGGTTTGCCTGTTCTACAAGGCATTTTCCTTTTTGGCTTGGAAAATATAAGGATAATTTTCCAAATACTTTATTTGCTTGGAGAATTTTAGTCTGCCTTTGTGGGTTTTGTTTAGGATGTTTGTAGGGTATGTTTAATAAAATTAGTTGATAAGTTAGTTTATAGTTTATTAATAATTTTTGAGCTTATAGTTTAAAGCTGAAAAGTTGGTTTATATTAATGTATTAGGTAAAATTAACTGAAAAGCTGTCTGAAATAAATATTTCAATGAGTTTATTTGAAAAATTATCCAAAGAAAAGCTGTCTGAAATAAATATTTCAATGAGTTTATTTGAAAAATTATCCAAAGAAGCCTATGAGATAAGTTCGAGTATTTTAAAACAGTCTTAGTGTTCGTTTTTTTTTTGTACAAGAAAGGGGGCAAAGCCTACGTCTAAGTCAAAACACTCTGAGGATAAGCGACACCAATCCTTAATGTTCTTTTTTTTTTTAGTACAATAAAGGGTGGCCGAAGCCGAACTACTGCTAAACTAAAACGCGACGGGGATGAGCAACCCCAATAAAGTCATGCTCAAGCCACCTGCCAACAGACGGAGGTGGGGCGGCTAAATGGTGTACCCCGAGTGATTCAGAAGCCGCTAGTGAAGCCAGATGGTCCGCAGCGTAATTTGCTTCCGTGAACACATGCATCAGTTCCACCGTCCAATCGCGATCCCGGAGCTCTCGTATTGCCCTAACAAGACTGTCGTGAATCCCACTCACATCCTCACGCCCCATAACCATGTTAATGACGCTACTGTTGTCCACTTCCGCCACCACCTTCCGAGTGTCCAAATTCCAAGCAAGAGAAAGCCCGTGGAAGTCTGTTGACATTAACAAACATGGTGTGAGACATTTATTTGCCTGTTCGGTAAGACATTTATTTCCTTTTTAGTCCGGGCTTATGATTTGCTCAAGCTACGTTGAAGTCTGTTGACGTCCGCTGTGAATGTGATGTTCGTTAACATCTAGTTGTATTATTTTTTGAGTTTAATAAAATTTTATTGTTTTAAAAGAAAAAGTAATGGGCTTGGACATGCTAATTCTGTTGCACCGCTTCGCTTTGAAGGCCCATGCTCGCAACGTCCATGGCGTGGGCTGATAAATCCATACGTCAATATAAGAGAGAAATCTACAGCATTTGCTAATTTGATTTTTTGCGAGAGCAACAACTGACACATTAGCTTATTGGTACATCTACCCGTTACGGTACTATTTCGTCGGATTTAATAGTTAAATCATCATGTAATCGTCAGAGCTAATTGATCTAATAGTTGTAAATCTCAACAGAATAATTTCATAACGGAACCATTGCATCTCCTTTTAACTTATTAAGCCACGTTCACCTAAATAAATACACTTCCAATAGCCTCCAATATCTTATAGTAGTAATTATAAGTGTTAAAATAATTGATAGTATCTAAGAGTGTATTAAGATTAAATTAATTTATCAAAAATAAATCAAATTCCATTAAATTAATCTCAATCAAAGGCCCTCAGGCCAACATATGTGTCTCACAGCATGTTTGTTAATGTTAAGACGAAAGAAAACAGCTGCACATAAATCCTTTTTTTATTTTTTTGACACGTAGGAGTATTAATACTGGTTCCTCAATTCCCTTTCCAATGACTCAAACTCAGAATATGGAATCGCTCGCTCAATTCCCTTTCCAATGACTCAAACTCAGAATATGGAATACGTCGAGCGAGGTATGCGCCATGCGCTAAACGCTCTTCGTCCAGCTGCACATAAATCCTTCTCTATTAAAGATTGTTTAGTTCTGAACTAAAAAATTCCTTCTTTATTAAATTTCTCTAATCCTCTTTTGCTTTTTGTTGCCTTGAACAGAGCTCCCTTCAATTTCACTACTTCTATCGAGCCCCTTTTTAAGCCTCTCTCTCTCTCTCCCTCTCTCTCTCTCTATTTATTACCCAAAGGAAAGTACAATGGTAGGTAACAATTTAGCATGTTGAGCTTACACTCCCCAATTTCTTGAAAAAAAAATTGAAGCTTTTGCACTGTTTGCTGGGTGAAAAGGAACAATGAGAAAAAATTACATAGCTCTTGCTGTAATTCTTGTGATATTTCTTGCTGGTTGCTCTTCGGCTTCAGCATCGCCCGCCGCCAGTAATAACCACAAACAATTGCAGTGGTTTCTGATAAAAATGGTTTCTTGATTTTTTATGTCTTTTTTTCTTACATTTGCAGGAATTTTAAGTGGGCTTGTCTCCGCCATTGTCAAGCGGCTGTGGTCACTGAAACCCACCAGCAAAACTGGTATAAAGAACAGAAAAAAAGATTTAATTTAATTTTTTTTTTTGGCTGTTATCAGCTCGATTGTTTTATTAATTTCAAATTCGAAATTGTAAAGAATGAACCTATTATTGTTATTTTTTTATTTTATTTTATTTTTTCAGCTGTTCATAGTCGTTCTATGGTGAAATTTGAGAGTGGGTACACAGTTGAGACAGTGTTTGATGGGAGTAAGCTCGGGATTGAGCCTCACTCTGTTGGGATCTCAATGGATGGGGAAATTTTCATATTAGACTCAGAAAATAGCAACATTTACAAGATCTCATCTCCTCTGACTCGATGTGAGCTAGCTGCACTATTTTTCTTTTCTTGTTTTATGTGAATTTTTTAGCATCAAGTGTATCTGGCTTTCTTTATAACAGTTTGATTGATTCTCTTCATAAACATACTTGTTCGTGGCGGTCTAACCGTAAGACGGTTCGACCGGTCATACATTTTTAACAAAAAAAATAATACTCATGAAGTATCATACATATGTGTCTGACAAAGTATTGTATAACAACCTTATTGTTGCTTTATAATATGGGGAAATGCTACGGTCCCGCTACGGAACTATTCCGTCGTGATTTGTAACCATTAGATCATCATGTGACCGTCGGAATAGTTGATCTAACGGTTACAAACCCCGACGAAATTGTTCTGTAACGAGACCTTAGCATATCCTTACAATATGATTAATGTGGTTTGGGTTGAATTCCTTTCTTGGTGATTACTCTTTGAATTTGAGTTTTTATTCTTTAGAATTATTTTTATTATTATTTTCATTTTTGGTTGAGGGGTACTATGCATCTTTTTCTCCTGATTTGATTCTCACTTTAAAAAGTTTAGTTAGTTTGGTTATACTTTATTCATGAGACCAGTTATGCCATTTTGGCCATTTTTTTTTGCTTTTCTACTGCTTTATTCTTTATAAATAACATTCATACTGTAGCTGTGTTTTTACATACTGTGCAAGCATGCAGATTTTGTTCTGACTCATTCTTACATTCTGTACATAACATTCTTAATCCAATTCAAACATTTGAACACTTCACAGAAGTATACAAAATGCAGCAGTTGTTAATTTTTATGATCTTGATTAAAGGGAAAAATAAAATAGAGATCTCTTTGGTTTGGATTTGGTTTTTTCGAAAAGATTATTCCATGAATTGGTAAATAAATAGAGTTGATTTTTAGTGTAATGTGTTAAAGCGGATAATTTTTTCCGGTTACAGATAGTAGAACTAAGTTACTTGCTGGATCAGCCGAGGGCCACACTGGACATGTAGATGGGAAGCTAAGACAAGCTCGAATGAACCATCCCAAAGGACTTGCCGTTGACGATAATGGCAACATATATATTGCTGATACTATGAATATGGTCATTAGGAAAATTAGCGACGATGGTAAAAATGAAAAAAAATAAAATAAAAAAATAGTAAATTTCATCACCTTTTGGTATTTGGTGACTCTTGAATTATAATTTAGTTTCTCATCTATTATTATTATTATCTTATTATTTTTTCTTAATTTTATTGGTGAAGGAGTTGTGACGATTGCGGGTGGGAAATCGGGTCGTGGAGGAGAGCACGTTGATGGGCCAAGTGAAGAAGCTCGGTTTTCGGATGATTTCGACTTAGTGTACATTGGAAGTAGTTGTTCTCTTTTGGTCATAGACAGAGGTCATCAAGCTATTAGAGAGATTCAACTACACGAACACGATTGTTCTCAACACGATGATGAAAATCTTCATTTAGGTAAAGAAAACAATTAACTTTTTTTTTTATATATATTTTTTTTCATTTCATCATCCGTTTTTTTATTAAATTTAATATTAAAGTCATCCGGAGGTGGTTAAATTCATCGTCCGTTTTTTTAATATATATATTTTCTATTGTATTTTTTTTAGGCATAGCAGTGCTCGTCGCAGCTTGTTTCTTCGGTTACATGCTGGCTTTGCTACAATGTAGGATTTCAACCATGCTTTCCTACGATAATGTAAGTCTTTTTTTCGTGCTTAGTTATATTGAATTATCCTTGTATGGATTATTGTATGGATTATTAAGGGGGTGATTGATAGGGAGTCCTAAAAATCGATCAAAATTGAATTTTGTTAAAAGTGAGTTGTTTTGTATAAAGTTGATTAGTGAGATGAGATAGATTGTAATTAAATAAACATTTAAAACGTAAAACTATGAGAGAGATGATGAAAATATCTGTAGTTAAAAATATATGAGTAGATGAATAGTGAATTAAGTTGATGTAACGTAAAAGATAAATAATTGATAATATATATTGAGGTTAGTGAGGTTGAATTAAATTTGAGTTAAATTTTATTACAATAAGTTAATCGAATTCAAATCGATCAAATCACTTTTAATTATATAGATAATATTCATGTTATTTAATTATTTAAAATTGAAGGAACCGAGCCAAAGGCCGCCACCCAAATCTGTCTACCCTCCCTTAATACCACCCGAAAACGAAAACGAGAGGCAAGAGGAGGGCTTGTTCACTTCATTGGGCCGTCTTTTTTCCAACACGGGCTCGTCAGTTGTCGAAATTCTTGGCGGGCTATTCTCCACTAGTCCTAAGAAAAAGCCCGTTTACCCTTCGGGCCCTTGGCCCGTACAGGAGAGCTTTGTGATCCCACGCGAAGACGGCCCCCCACCAGCCGACACGTGGCACTTCCCCACCACTCGGAAAAGCAGTTACCCCAAGCAAAACCGAGCCTATGGCCCACAACCACCACGCCACGTGGCGCAACTGCAGCATCATCAAATGCACCGACCCACCAGCCCACATACTAGCTACTATGAGCCGCAAAGCGTGGAACCGAATGAAATCGTGTTCGGGGCCGTACAAGAACAAGAGGGACGACGAGAGGGAATGGTAATAAAGGCAGTCGATGATGAGGAGCCCGTTTATAACGATAAAAATAGTAATTATTATCCGAACAATGTTAGGTCGAGGTATAATTACATGAGTTACTCCTCATCCTCCTATGGTGGTTATTAGTGTTTTTTTTTCTTCAACGTGATGTTGACAAATGTTGAGGTAGGAGCATGTATAGAAGAAACTAGGTATGTGATGATTTGATATTTCTGATGAGAAAAAAATGCCTTTGCGCCATTTAGGGTACCTTTTAACTGCTGGTTTTTTTTTTTTTAAAGGAAATTTTGATTGATTTATTGGACAAGATGTTCTATGATGGGAATATTTGATGAAATAATATAAGCGTGAGCCCAGGTACTAATGAATTTTGCTGACAATTGCAGGCCATGCGCCTTATATTTTTTTGTCAGGCAAAAAGGTTATGAAGATGTACAAAAAGGGTCTTAGTCCGTAGAATATTTGATAGGAAGCGATCTGGTTACGGAATCATTCTGTCGAGATTTGTAATCATTAGATCAGCTATCATAATGATATAACGGTTACAAAATCCGACGGAATAATTCCGTAACAAGACCTTAGCATTTCTCTATTTTATAAACACGGATTATTGTGATTGTCAGTTGATTATTAAGCGAATGGATTAATTATATTATGTTTATAAAATGACATATTTTTATTTAATTTTCTTTGAAAGTATAACATTTTTTTAATAAAATAATATATATGAAAAGAGTGACAAATTAATGGTTGGATAAGGATTGACCAAAATATTATCATCCAATTTAAGAATATGGCAGGCATGAAAATTGAAGGTCTCTTTGGAAATTAATGCTGCAAGTGAAATTCTCTTGTCCAACTTTTGGGCCTTCAACTTGATAATAAACGAAGAATTAAATTTTCCCTGATCTGTTAGCCTCGGAAAAA